TCGTTGATGGTGAAGAAAATTATATTTTTTAAATACGCTTAGTTGCCCCACCGTACGGTTGGCTTGTAACTGATGCGAATCAGCAAATAGTATTAGGTGACGAAAAGAAAGTGTGCATTTTAAGTTTTTAATTTGAAGATAGTGTAGATTTGTGTAAGTAACTAATTTTCCCTTTTAATTTTTTTTGGAAAAAACATAGCAATTTCACCGCTTTGAGGGTTCTGTTGCATGCAAGGAAAGTTTCACTCTGAAAAAGTACAAGTAGTCAACGCTTTTTAAAACCAAAGGGCTGTTAGCTAAAGCAACAACAATAACAATAATAATACATGCAAATGAAAAAAATTTCAACTAAAATATCAGCGCATAGCTGACATATGCTAGTACGAGGGCGGTCCGATAAGTACCTAGACTCACCGCCCGATGACACCACTATTGCAGAGAAATTTATTATCGTGTAGAGCATTCTCGTAGACAGCTGCTATTAATTTCCGTCGCACGGCACGAAAATTTTAGAAAAATTAACATTAACGAACGGATGCTGATTTTTGGATTCAGCAAACTTACGTTTCAGTTTTGTTAAAGAAGATTCATGCGCATTGTTCGGTCAAGTGTATCGAGCTAAAAGGGGAATATAGCTATAATATACGAGAGCGGTCTGGTAAATATTTAGTCTACAAAAGAAAAACGAAAATTTTAGAAAAATGGCGATTAATTTCAATAATTTTCTGCATTACCCTTGCAGACATAATTTTACTACTGGGTACATACAAAGTACGTATAGAAATAAGAGAAGTATGAGATGAGCGACAACAAGGCAGTTGCGATATTTATATAGGTTAAATTTAGTGACAGTTAAAACTAACTCAAAGCAACAGCGGATGTACAGTGGTGGGTGTAAAAAGTTGTGACAGGGAGGGAATATTTATGAAAGCAACAGTATGTTCATCTTCTGTACAAATTAAATATGCTTAAAAATCGATTTTTCGGAGAACATTTTTTCAAACACTAAAAGACCAAAATTTTCTTAAACAGCGAGCAAGTAATAAAATACGAGTATCAGTTTTCAAATTAAATATTCGCAGGGCTAAAAATGAGCTTTTTTTGGCAAACGATGATACTTATAAAATTATTTATTTTCAAATATTTTTTTAAAATTACTTCGAACATTGGAAATATAATGGTGATGGAAGACTCTGCAGTAATTCGAACACTTTTATTTACACTTCATTTTCAATATGAAATATTATATCCACGCTATCTAAATTTTGGCGCCCACCACTGTGCGCGCACTTACACGCATTCGTTCCACCGGACTGCACTTCTGTCTCTGATGTTTTTTGACTGTTGAAATTTGCTCGTTACCGTGATTTATTTCGCACATAAATTGTTGGCATTTTCACACGCGAT